CACACACACACACCCACCCCCACACCCCACACTCCCCCCGCAGGTGTGCCAGGCGCACCGGTGGGCCACGCTGAGCCTGACGGGCGAGCTGGATGCGCGCAGGCGGCAGGCGCTGGTGGACGAGTTCAACTCCCCCGCCCACCCCTCCTTTGTGCTGCTGCTCAGCTCCAAGGCGGGCGGGTGCGGGCTGAACATCGTGGGGGCCAACCGCCTGATCCTGCTGGACCCCAGGTGGGGGTGGGGCTGTGTGTGTGCGTGTTTGTGTCTGTGTGCGTAACTGTGTTTGGTGGGGTGCCCGCCCAGCTTCCTGCCCTGGCAAACACGCCAGTGCCTACCTCCCCACCTGCCCCATCCACCACCACCGCCTCTCCACCTGCTGTCCACCCGCCTGCTGCCTCCCTGTGCGCCTGCCCACCCATTCCGCCTTGCAGCTGGAACCCTGCCGACGACCAGCAGGCCATGGGTCGTGTGTGGCGGGAGGGGCAGACCAAGGATGTCTTCATCTACAGGCTGCTCACCACAGGCAAGCCTGCGTGGAAACCCTGCCCTGCAGGCAGGCTGCTTGCTGTAGCCATGCACGCACAACACCTCTAATGGAGGGCTGCAGATGGGGAGGCCAGGCGTGGCGAGGCTGCCGCTACCCCCCCACCCTGCTACACACACACACACACACACACACACACACACACCACACACGCACCGCCACCTGCGCACCCTCAAAGCCTGCAGGCAGCATCGAGGAGAAGATCTTCCAGCGGCAGCTGGCCAAGGAGGGGCTGTCGCGGGTGGTGGTGGACGACCACGCAGACGAGCAGCGCACCTTCTCGAGGTGGGAGGCGGCGGCGGCCCCCCGCCTCTAATAAGGGCTGGGGCTTGGGCGCTGCGGCGGGCAGCGGGCTGCGGGCAGCCTAGGCCCTGCGGGTGGCGCCGGTCCGGGGGGGCACGATTCGGGGCCGTCCAGCATGCATGTGCATGCTTGGCGGGAACGAGAGGCTGCACTGGATGCCACGGGCGTGCCACGGGCACCCAGCCCTGCCGCGCCCCGAGCCGCCGCTCTCCCCCACGCACGCGCGCGGCGCCGGCTGCCGCAGGGACGAGCTCAAGGCGCTGTTCCGTGTGGGTGCGGCGGTACAGTGCGACACACACGCCGCCATCAAGTGCACGTGAGCGGTTGGGGAGGGGAGGCGTGCTGCCGCGGGGGGTGGGGTGCAGGGAAGGGCTCCCCCCACGGCCGCCGCCGGCGCGCCACGCCAAGGCGGGCTTGCTGGCTTGCTGCGCACCAGGGGTGTTCTACTGGTACCGCCTGCCGCGCCGCGCCCGGGCGCAGGTGTGAGGGCAAGTGGCCGCGGGCAAAGGAGACGCCAGCGCCGCAGCGCCATGCCCCCAAACAGCCGCAGCCGCCGCAGCCGCCCCAGCAGCCGCAGCCGCAGCCGGCGCAGCCGCAGGTGGAGGTGGCGCGGTGCGGCCCAGACGAGGGGTGGGATGATGACGACGATGTTGTGGAGCCGCCTCCGCCCAAGAAGCCAGGCAGCGGCAACGGCAAGGGGAAGCAGGTGAGGGCCGGCCCGGCCGGGAGCGCCCAAGCCGGGCGCTGGCTGACTGCCAGGCAGACAGGCCGCCCGCGCTGCCGTGCTCCTGTGTGCGCCCCCTGCCGCCGTGCACGCGCAGGCTGCGCAGCCAGAGGCGGCCTCCCAGGCGCCCAGCCCTCCTCCTCCCACTGCCGCCGCCGCCGCCGCCGCCGCCAACCCGGGCAGCGTGCTGAGCTGGGCGCACGTGGCGGATGTCAGCCTGCTGCCCGACCGTGTGTGGCAGCGGGTGCCGCCCCCCATCCGCTCCTCCTTCATCACCTTTGCCTTCTCGGGTGGGTGGCGGGATGGACGGCGGGTTTGTGCTGCTGTGTGTGCTGCTGTGGAGGGGCTGCGTCGGGTGTGGGGGCGGGACCCCGGGCCCGCGCTCGGCTCCCTGCATGGGTGCGAGGGTCGAGCGCTGCTCCCAGCACGCGGCAGCGCTGTGTGTCCTGACCTTGCCCCTGGGTGCCACCCTCCCCCCCACCCTCCA